CATATCATCCACAGCCACACCCACACACCCTCAAGATCTACAGAACTCTCTTTTTAGTTTGTTTTTTAAAAGAGGCATCAAGGAGATAGATCATAATAGAGGGCGCTATCATCTTGTCGATACCGTTGCTTTCTTTACACATTCTAATAAATTTCCATACCATTCCTTTAATATATGCCTTCCCAATCGTTGTGAAATATAAATCAAACTGAAATTCATCTTTCGAGTTCTGTAGATCTTGAGGGTGTGTGGGTGTGGCTGTGGATGATATGGTGTCAATGAAAATAAGTCTCACACCCATACCCACACACCCAACACCCACACCCACCCACACCCAATTGATTTCACTAATAATATGAGCCTGGCAAATAATCATGTCACCATCTAATAAGTGCTTTAGTCTTATTTATTGAGTTATTCTCACACGTTTTTTTCTGCATGAATAGAATTTTTTTCTTGCTTCATATGTTAGAAATTGAAATTGACGTATTGAATTATCAATGAAATTGTTTTTTGCTTCTATCTAGGTTCAAAAAAGGATTGCTTTGTTGCATTTGGATTTGAAATAGTTGAAGAAGATGAACAACTGAATACTTATACTTGGAGTAGTTCTCCAGGTCTTCGAGAGAAGACGGAGGAATAAGTACAAATTATTCGAGGGGTTGGTGTTTCATCATTTCAACGGACAACATCTACATCATCAGCAACTTTAAATTCTGTGGCAAAAGCAAAACGAAAAAATTTACATAATCGAAATTCAAATGATACAGATGTTTTAACTATATTAAATGACAAATGGGTGCCACCATGTCCATCAGCAATAATTACATTTTTAGCTGAAACTAGTAATGTGACTGGAACAGATGTTACTAATGATCATTTAACAAGTTCCAATAACCATTCAACATCGATTTTGAATTCTGTGACATCAAATACAGAAAAAAATGTAACATCATCATCTGATGTTGATATGTTATTTAATGAAAATACATCATTACGAGAAAGAAATTTAGGGTGTGTGTGAGTGTGGGTGTGAGGGTGTGGGGTGTGGGTGGGTGTGGGGTGTGGGCGTGTATGAGTGTGTGGGGTGTGTGTGGATGTGGGTGCATATCATCTATTCGTCAACATCCACACTCACACCAGAGCTGCCACCAGGCCGGCCTGCCAGGCCATCGAAAAATATGAAAATCAAATCTGAGTTGATCCGTTTACATTATATTGAAGTAGAGTAAAAGACTAGCTCAGACCAGTATTATTGACCCAATTCATCCTTTCTTTGTGTCAGAAATATATTTTATAATATGGGTTTTTACAGAAATTTGATGATAGATGCAAAGATTTCTCACACAAAGAAAGGATGACTTGGACCAATAATGCTGCTCTGAGCTAGTCTCCTATTTTACTTCAATATAATGTAAACAGATCAACTCAGATTTGAATTTCAAATTTTCTGATGGCCTGGCAGGCCGGCCTGGTGGCAGCTCTGACTCACACCCACACCGACACCCACACCCCACACCCTTGTTTTTATTTTGGTGGATTATTTCTGAGATAATTGATATTTCAAAATTTTACTTTTTGATGATTGTTCATTTATTGTTGGTATGATATGATTATAAATAAAAGAAAAACTATCTACAAGTGATACAAGTGGTTATTCTTCAGCAATATAAAATAGGCAAATGTTTTTTTTATTAAATTATAATAATGATAATGTTCACAATAAAGATGCATTTGATGGAATGATTTTAATTCAAAATGATAATTGTTATTATCATATTGATTAATAACTAACAGACGTTGAATATTTTTTAAATATTCATATGATGAATCAATTGTATCACCAGGTAATAAACGAGCATGATTAATAACATAATCAACTAAAATAATTTTGAAGAAAACAAAATTCTTGTTTTTTTCTCTCTCTCTCTCTTGCTAAATTGTTATTCATATTTACTTGAATACTCAATTTCTGTATTAATTGGTTCTTTGACATTTAAAATTAATTGCTGATCATTTTCATCATCAACAAACTATAAAATAATAATTCAGTTTATTTATGTATTTCCTTTTTAAAATATTTATACATCATCTAATTCTTCTTCATCAATAGTTTCAATCATTTGCCAAACATCTCGTTTTGAATCTTCATGATGAAATATTAATGTATATGATCTTTCATGTAAAGCTGTATTCATCGAAAGAAATTTATCAATTAGATCTTCATTAAAACCATTATTTCGTTCTAACATATCAATAAATATTGATCTATCAACATTTAACATTTGACATGTTCGACGACAAAGCCATTCAAGATGAAAATCATCTAGCATTTTTCTTTCTTTTGTTTTATGTAATGTCTCCGATTAAACAAGATTTGTTTTTTCAAACTTTAGTTCACTAGTAGAGAGTCAGTGCCAAAGACCTATTTACAAAGAAGATAAACATACTAATCTACTTATGGCCTGGAGTTATTTTAAAATTTCTATTGGCAAAGGAACCTTTTATGTACTAGAAAATCCGTTGATCCTACTTCTTTGTCCATCAGTTAGATAACTATTTGAAGGGATGCTTCGAAGTCGGCAGAATTGGAAATGGGAGCAGTTAAGTGCTTCTTGGAGAATTAGTGTGCAGAAAAAATGAATAAAGTACTGAAATTTTGCTGAGAAAAAATAGAAATTTCTCAAAATTGTAAGTGCCTTGTTACCTCTCTGATCTCCCTGCTCCCGGCTCCACTGACCATTAGACAAAGAAAACCCTAAGAAGTTATAGATTCAAGTTGCAATTTGGTCGAGATATCGAATTTTCTGTGACGAGCTCTTCAATTTTTCAACAACATTATAGTTTCGAATTTCGCTCAAGAAAACTCACTAACAATTCGATATTCGAGATTTTCTAGTCTAATTGTTCTCTAACTGAGAGAGAAAATGCTAACGCAGCCCCTTCTCAGCTAGAATGTGAAATGAACGTAAAGTAAAAAGTCTCTAGTAGTCAATAGTCGCTTTTCAAGGATAATTGAATGTCAGAGAAACCACCTGTCTTATTTATTTCTGCATTTCAAACAGATAGTTTTACGATGCGAAGCATTGTATAGTAATCGTTCGTGATTTTTATAACTTTCACGACACACTACTCGAGTTGCTAGTTTGCGTCGCAATGATCTAAAGATCGAAGTGTCGTGCGATTTTCGTTGAAACGTGGTTAGAAAGTTCCATATTCGTATTTGATCAATATGACAAGGCAGTGATTAGATCGAATATTGGTGCCATCTTTCGCAGTTTTCATTTTATCGATGATCAGTAATGAAATTTTAAAATACGAATGAAAAAGACAAATAACAAAATCAATAGCTCTAAGATAAGTTATATCAAGTATGCTTTATCATTGTCATGTATCATTTTGTAGTGAACAAAAAAGCACAATCAATAAATTTTGTTTTTTATTTTCATATAACATTAAGATTAGGCATGGAAAATCAATGAAGTAATGTATTGGTATTTAATATTCAGAACAAAACAGAAAGTAAAAATATTCGTTTTTGTACAATTTCATTTAATTTTTCGTTTCTTCAATAACAGAGATAAATATTTTATATTTGTGCTTTGTAATTTACATTCTTATCAAGACATAGTCAGCAAGAATTGATATTATCTGTAGGTGAAAGACAATGAAGCTGTAATCGTTGATGATATTCGCCCCTACGCTTGTGATGGCTCTCTAATAGGTTGTAATGGATGTAGATTTGGCTTTCGTATCAAATCGTGATATTTTTGAAGGGTGTCACCAAGGGAAAAGTATGAGTTTCGTCAAAAAACCGAGTTTTGGGCTGACGGCTACCGGTATTGTGTAAGTTGCATGTAAAAGCTTGCGAAGACTTTGTTAATGTTCGATGGGAGTTCGGGAAGGTGTTGACGCTCAATGAAGTCTACTATCACTCAAAATGTTATATAGGCCCCAATATAATGTGGTGTGCGTAAGTAAAATCATTACAAATGATCTTTCTTGATGCATTTTTTTCTAGAATAATTGTTGACCTATTGATTGATGTGATAGCGGCTTTCGTTTTTTCTTATTTCGTTTCTCTTTAATGTATATTACACTAAAGGACTGGCTAAAGCATCTGTTACTTCGAATAAATTCGTACTCATTTTATGATCGTTAGAAAATAGTAAAGTTGAGGCAGACTGTACCAGTAGATTTCAATGATGTTTTTTATGAAGCAAAACAAAAGCAGGTAATGCTAAAGATAGATGTTAAATCCTCATGCACGACGTTAAGAGTCGTTTCAAGTTTGTCTTGATAGATCGTTGCACTTTTTCTCTTCATGCGAATAACTGCATATGCTGTTGATTAATGAATATTTACTTCTTTATCAAATCTCTATCTGTTACTGTTCCTCATCTTGTATACACTTCATCAACTAATTTCGTATTCTGATCTTTCTTTCAGTACTATCTCCTACCTCCATGCGTGTACAACTCTCGAACAGCTGCTCCATCTCACTTTTTATTTTCACCTCTCCGTTCTCTTTATCCTTACATGTCCCCCTATTTCCGTTTGTCTCTCGCTGTCTTCCTAACTCTTCCTGCCCCATTCAATTCTCTCTTTCTTCCAGTACCTACCTCTCCTCTATTTTTTCTCTTTTTGCTTTGTGCATTCTTTCATCTAAGTCTCTCTCTTGCTCTGTCTACCTCTATCTAACTATCTATCGCCTCGTCGTCTCCCTTTCTTACTGTTTTCTTCGTATTGTCTTCCTGTCTTTCCCTTGCTTTCCATAGACAAGCTAACTCTCTCAGAGGATCATGTACACTTCTATTAACGATAAAGTCATGTAGTAAGAAATGCATGAAAATAAGAAATCTGTCATAAACAGAATTATATGAAATTTTCTATTAGATGTTTCACACAGTGCCAATATATAAGCAAAACACGTGAGCAAATTTTAGTAGTGCTTATTTGAATCTTGCTCATTCTTCTTAATTTATATGAATTTTCATATAGCTAATATAACAATGAATACAAGCTGCAAAAAACAATGTTTTGAATAAGATGCCGAATATTTTCAAGTCTTTGACAGTGCAAGATTGTTGCTGGAAAGATGCAATATCGATCGTCCAAAAAATATCAGGACTTTTTATTGCAGTTTGCCTCTAAAGAAACTTATCTATTCTTATATAGGAAATTAAAACTTCATGCTGATCGACATACTACATTGGCTTTTGTTCAGCACAAAAAGTTCACATAAATAGTACAATCTCTGATATGTACACTTGCCACAAATGCTTCGTTTCTTACTCAAGCAGGTTTTTACGAACTAAAATTCTCCAAAACTTCTAGGCTTTTAAGAATGTCCAATTCAAAAACATGAACATTTCGATAAAGAAATGCGGGACCACGTAAAAGAAACATTGCACTTGTGAAGAACGAATTAGAATTTGCTTTGTTTTGCCGGAAGAAATAAGGTTCATTTCATGTTTGCTTATAATTATCACGAATGGTTTGTTCCTCGTAATATTTCTATTCATGAGCGCGCGCTTTCATAAAGACTGTTGCACCGTGCTGAGATAGTATAATGGACGATGGCAGCAATGATCAGACAGCCCAACATGTATGGATGGCGTTTGTGCAAGATGACGACAACCACAGGGACATATATATATGACAACAGCCTTCGCAGGCATACCTGTACGTACTCTAACAGAACGTTGAATCTCTCTAGTAAAGTTACAAAGTCTTCTGACAAGATTTTGTCAAGGAATAGGTAATGAAAGCGTATCACAATGGGTTACTATAAATTTGGATGCCGAAAATTTTCCAGCGTTTGTTTCGCATTAACTTTGTAAATAGAGAATGTGACACGTTCATCCACACTAACATGCCGAAGTATATGTATACGTTTGTTGACTAATTGAAGCTCGCTGAGATCTCATGGAGATTCATTTTTATATTGTGCTTTGATAACATTCAATCGAACTATGTCTTTTCAGGTGTGTTCAAAGTATATGTGAATATGGAATTGTGATGACTGCAAACGTTTTGAAAACAGAGAATGGGTAGAATCATGAAAACAGACTAGATAAATATATTTCAAACTAACTGCTTTGCACGTCGTTTTCCTTATAATCAAGCTGTTACATGTCCATGATCAACTAGTAGCAACATCATACTTTCTATATTTATTATTAGTTCAGGTCCGCACGTATCCCAGATGGACAACAAGTAGTAGTTGTAAAAGTATTTCACTCTGAAAATTATTTTTGACTAGCATATTTATTTCTTTTAATGCTATTTGTTAATGAAACTGTCTCTGTAATGTTTTTTTTTGTTTGTTGAAACTTATTTATGAATCTATAAAGTAGAGTATTTTTTGTTCATTACTTAACATATGAAGAAGAAACTTGTTTACAAGCAGAAGAATATTTATTAACCTTTAAATTAATGTTTTATTGCACCTGAAAGATGTTAAAAAGCAACTAAAACAGGAGTAGACAAAGTCTTCACAAGGAGACCTTAACTTTCTTACATGCAGTAGGTGTGGAAATTTGTGTGTACATATTTCATCAACAATGTGGGTCAAAGCAATGAGATTATCTTCATATCCAAAGCACAACGAAACAGACTTGAAACTACGTAGTACTGAACCGGTTGAACTCTTCATATCAGGCTGTTTTTACCAGTCTTTTACCGATTTTATATTACTTTTTAGAGTACTAAAGTTAGCATATATTTGCTCGTTTTTATGATGTTCAAAATTGTGATATAGCACTTTCCACTATATAGTGAGTAAACTGATTATGGCTAAAAGAGTTACCCACTGATTCAGAACCTAGACAGTGGGTAAACTAGAAAATTTTCCATCTCAAAATGTCAAGCTCACTTCTGAACTGTTTTGCACTGACAATGGAAAACTGTTGACGATCAAAAATTCTCATCATTATATTCTAGTTGTCACAATACCAAAAAACAGTCTATTTCAAAATCGAACATTCTATCTTATTTAATTTTGCTATCCGCAATAGTAACTGATGGAAGGAAAAATCCTGCAAGTAAGGGTACTATTTTTTCTCGACTCTTCAAGGCAACTAACAATAAAATGGTACCCTATTCTCAAGTACGTTAAATAATGATTTCAAAAAAAGAAAAAAACACCAAATTTATCACTTATGAAGAAATCATTTATTCATCAAGGAAAACTAACTAAAATAAAGTACAAACAGTGTTCCTTTACTTCTCAGTATGAACGTGTATGAGACGCAATGGATTATATAAACAACATTCGTATCAGTGATCTCAAGAGTTTTATGAATTTCACTCAATCTATTTGTAAAGTTGTATTAATTAACCCTTTCTCAAAAAAAGTAGCTTGTTAATTGAGATATACGAGGATCCGCTTTTTCACTAGTTTTTTGCCGGTTAACTCAAGAATTTTCACCGGTTGGGTCAGTCGCATTGGAAAAGATTCAATCCGTTCCAACTCTGCAACGAGATTTATGATGGACGATTCCTATTGTTGCTTCAAGTCTTTTAGCGTGAAAAGCTGTCTATTGAATATTGCGTTATGCTGGAAGATTGCCATATCTGGATGTCTGTTAGTCTTCAGCACGAACACAATTATTATTGGCAAACCTTTTCCATTCAGAAGAAGATTCTTTTTCGAGACTTGTAGGTAATAATACTCAACTACAGGCAAAGCTTGCCCAAAAAGTTTGAGTTCGATTCGTCGAAGTATTACTGAGTTACGATCTACAAAAAGGCATTCGGAAGCTTTTTGTACTTCGAATAGTCACAGTAAAATAGCCGCCATTCTAACAAGACTTTATGAACTTCGATGAGATTAATAGTGTGGATAGCCGTAAGTAATGAGGGACAAGCTTTCTTTTCAGTGTATCATAATTTCCATTGTGTTTAAGCAATCGGGTTAAGCTGGTAGCTCTAATCTACATTCTCCATAGATTATCTGCGTAGGGATTTTCAGACCTCCGGGATCTATGGTAACTGAGATCTGGTAGCGGGGAAAGCTTTTATCCATTGTTATAACTTGTGAAATTTCGGACGATTCGATATTATTAGAAATTTGCTTTGAGAAAAAAACAGATTCAACTGATACTGATGAAGCAGAAACACATATGATTTTTCTACCAAGTTTATTAATAGATTGATATGGATTAGCCTTCGTGATTGAATTTTCTTCCTACATAAAATCAACAATTTCTTCTGAAAGTCTGATGCTGGACTCTAAATATAGAGTACAGTCAACAACAAAAGTTTAAGCGACTTTATTTTTTCAGACCTAATTTCACATTAAAGGATACAGACCTAATTCAAATAGTGATATTGATAATATGAGAGACTGTCTACATATAAATTTATGTGCTTTCTAGTTTTTCGTATTTTCCAAGCAAGAGATTTGCACTAAAATGAAAACAAAATAGATCAATTGATAGAGGCTTTCACGTTCTGACAGTTTCTAAAATAATATTTTCGTTCTCGGAACTGATTTCTATCTTCAAAATCTGATTTTATTGAGAATAGGCGAAAGACACGGAAAAGTGAAAATCTTCGAATTCCATCGAACACTCACATCTACATCCTACTTGAAATCTAACGTACTCAATTTTTTGAATATTTTTTAATTTATGGAAGAAAAGAGCAGAAAAAATTTTAAAAACATTCAATTTCAAACTGTGACGTACTACTAAAAAAAGACCACTTTTTACTACCCCATACTCACTTTTGAATTTTTTATGGTAGATCTGTAAAGAATACAATTTTCTTTAAAATGAGACATTTTCCAACTTTCTAGGTTCGAAATATATTTAAATATAAGCAATATACGATGGAATTTGAAGAAATTCACTTTTTTTTGTGCTTCGCCTGTTTCCAATAGAATCAGATTTTGAAGATAAAGATTAGTATCGATAACAAAAACGTTTTTTAAGAAACTAACAGAATGTGAAATACTTTATCAAATGATCTCATTTGTATTCATTTTAATGCAAATTTCTTGGTGAGGAAATACGAAATACTGCAAAGTGTATAAATCTATTTCAAAATAGAATGCATCTCGTTGTTTTATTATTTAATCGATAATACAAACAAATTTTAATTAAATAAAAATATTTTTCATAGAAAAAAAGCAGTTCATATCGCATTATTAATAATGATGAAAATAAGTCCAAATGAAATTCCAGATGCTGTCAATTCATGCCTGTACCATTACGTGATACATTAATGAAATATGTTTATAAAGATTTTAGAACTCGAAAAAGATTATTTAGGTACTGCTTTATTATTGTGACATGAAAAGTATTTTGTAATGTTTCAAAAAGCAAAGTTTTTCTTGATTTATTTTATTAAAAGTTCTTGCAGTTAGTGGTTTCGGTTCGATTGCACGTGTTGTTATTGATCAACAAGCTTTGTAAACTGTTTTGTTGTTGTGGGTCTTTTTTTACAAGTCAACTATATTTGACTATTATGATTATATTAATGTGCATATGAAGAAAGTTTTTTTTCTAGGCGAAATTCTTTAAGTTTATCTTTAATTTCTAGATAACACGGTATCAAAAAGCTCTAATATTATCATAAAAACAAGTGGTTTTTAATTAGTAACAAATGAAATTGGTTTAATGAATTTTTTCATTCAACATACAAGTGAATCATTATTGATTAATGAAAATGCTGTACCCGATGTACATGTTGACATAGACACAATATTTAATAAACTTGTACCCGAAGATAATTCTTATGAACATTTAGATGAAGGTCAAGATTATATGCAGGCACATGCAAAATGTTCATTACTCGCTTCATCAATTAATATTCCTATTACATCAGGATGTTTAGTTTTTGGTACTTGGCAAGGAACGTATTTATATAAATAACGCAATTGTGCTAGAAGTCGAAACATTGTTGAAATAATCAATGGACAACCGAAAAAAAATCAAAAAGAATTTCTTCGAAAATTTATTTATACGAGCATTTTAGAAATTAAGTTTTTTTTGTTATGGTTGAATGTTTTTTATAGTAATCAATTAGGAGTTGTCAAGTTATAGAAGATTTATGAATAGTCGAAAATAAGAGCAGAGAAATTTTGAAATTATCTTTCTTTGAAAAAACAAAGAAAAGATCAAGATGCAAAATTAACTTAAATAACATTTTTAGTGTAATTCGAATTGTCTTTTATTGTAGATCATGTGAGTAAAATTGATATTGTCATTGCTAACGATGGAATCTCCTCAAATATCTCCTTCCAATTTTTATAATGTTTTTGCCTATAGATACTTAATAGAGTTCTAACAAATGATCTAAAAAGATTCAGGTTCCTATTGAGGTTTGACTAAGGTATCAAATTTTTTTCTGGAGACTCAACGTCTTCGAAAAACTTGTATTTTCGAATTTTATCTGAGACTTGGCACATATAGAGAACTCAACCAGACTAACTTGCACAAAAAAATTCACGAGTTTTGAACAAACTCTCTTGGAGATATGAATTTTTCAAAAAATGTATGTTCTTTATACACTATCGATGGAAAAAGGTCTAGATCTTGAACGTCTCATATCTCGAAGAGATCTGAGCTACAGATATCGAACTAGTGAATCTATCGGTAGGCAAGGCTTCATGCCGGAAGATAGCTGATAGCTAAGGATGTTTTTCCTTCCTGCTGATGATAGACATATTAAAAATTCGATAGTTTAGTTCAATTTCAAGAGGAACTAAAATTTTATCTATGGACAACAAATCATTGAAATCGGAAGGGGGAAGACAGAAGAAATATTCTCATAAGTTCAGACTGATATTATACTGTCTTGTACAAATCAAAATTTCATAAATTGTCGTCAAATAGACTAAGAATGAATTTAAAATTTATTCAATATCATTTATCTATCAATATGGAATTGTTCAAGTTTTCTTTTCTAATCTTTTTCATATAATAAAACATGTAATAATTGGATTAATCCATGTTAACAATATATGATAACAACTATTGGTGATTTTTATCTCGTATATGTTTTCTTTGTTGTTATTCATATATTCTTAATTTTTGAAAGAATTAGCAGGAGATGTTCAGTTCTTATTTCCAGTACTTTTAAACATAAGCGCAGAAAATTGATTTCAATATAAAGACAATATGGAAATGAATTATATTTTTTTTTGAATTGGGTTGAGTCAAGAGAAACTTGGACATTAGCATTGATGACTAGAACTATAAGATAGTTGTTTTAGTTTCTTTTTGACTTCTAAAATAAATTTAAAATAAAAGCATTAGCTAGTCCACAATGATGCAAATTAAAAAGGACGAAATTGATATAAGAGTGTGGATGAAACTCTTGACTTCAATTTTTGTCATTCAATGCATAATGAGGTACAAAAATTTGAATAACTTTCTGAGATATGTATAATCCTTTAAAAATTCCTACATATATTCAGAGGTTCTTCCAAACTGGTAGAATTCACTAAAATCTCTTTTTTTCTCGCTTGACAATTTTTATTTGTCAAAGTTACATTAAAATCATTAGCTAAATGAAATCCTAATCGATACTGAAACATCCACTCATATTGCACGTTTATCCATACCGAATTGGTTAACATATGTTGCCGAACATATCAGTTATAGTTTAATTGTGACAGATCTCATTCGCAATTTCATAGACCCATAAGAATTGGTAAAATTTTAATCAATTGAGGTCATGCTATATATGCTAAGATACCATTTGATGTTCATCGACATTATCTTCTTGTTGTTTATCCAGTCATAACAACAGGTTCAACAGTTCATACTGGTCTTGAAGTATGAACTAAAGAATACCAATCTAAACAATCAAATATGATTTTAAAAATGTTATTTTCTACATCTGATGAAATTAAACATTTGTGAATTTTATCCTGGCATACCAATTGCTTGTTTTCAGAAATTATTACAGTTGCACCGAATCATTTTGGTGAAAAATATTTCGGTAAGAAAGAAGAAAAACAAAGTTCAGATTTAAACATTTTAATTTCTCTTTTTTTTTACGATACTGATTAAACAAAAAGGATTGATTTATTTCTAAATGGATTCTTATTTTACAAATTGGACAAATCAAAATGATAATCATTCATGCATTGATCAAGCATTGTTACCATATAATCTTATTGAACAAAATCCTAGAAAAGATCTTTCAAATAAAATATTAGACACAGCTTTATATGGTCAAGTAAAGAAAGGTATATTTCTTGAATTTGTTTTTGAAATGATTATCGAATTTAATTTTATGAAGAATATGGTCGTCATCGATTACATCGTTATGGAAATGAAAAAAGAAACATTGGCATTCATTACCTAAAAGATTGAAATTACCTGAAAATGCAGTTTGACTGATTGATGATGATATTGAAGAAAGAGAATCAACAATTCATGAAACAATAACCACAACGACAAATTATAGTGAAACTAATAGCACAAATGCAACAAAATATGTACCACTTTCGTTAGAAAAATGATTGAAAATACAAGATACAAAGAAGAACAAGAAGCAATTTCAAAATTCAACACATCATCTAATATTACAATACTTTCACAATTAACTACAAAATGACTATAATGAAATATCATAAAACATATATGAGAAAGAAAATAAGGCTCAATAAGTCAGTGCGAAATTCAGCCCATAGATATTATCTAATGATTTTGGGAATATACTGAAAGTTTCAACAGTAAAAAATGCTCATTTGTCGACAGAAATATTGAATTTCCAATAAAAAGTCACTTGTCACAGAAATTTACTCTAGTAATGTCGAAAAGTAGAAAAGTTGCGATGTGAATCTCGAATAAAAGAAATATAGAAATTAAAACTGTTGAAAAATAGGGTATGCATATCGATGAAGATAAGAGTACTGGAGTTTTCTCTTCACTCACATCAA